GCGAGCGCGCGCGTGCTAAGAATTAGCGCTCAGTTCATCTTGCTCTCACTGCACACACTCCTCAGTGGGCCATCTCCTCAGCCCGCTCACTGCACACACTCTTTCTCAGTGGGCCATCTCCTCAGCCCGCTCACTGCACACACTCTTTCTCAGTGAGCCATCTCCTCAGCCCCTGTTCCAGTTTTCTTGAAGCGAGTTGGTTCTTACTACTTAATGCAGTGATTGAAGGGCTTTGCCGAGGTTCTGCTGCGTGTGCATTGGTGACTAGCAAGCCAGCAAGTTCTACCTGGCCATGCACTCTGATCTCTCATCTACCCATCTGTCTTCTAGTCTTTCCAGCTCTCTCCTATCCACTGGCCCGTGTGAAGGGGCCCCACAGCCGGCTGTCCACCGCATTACCTTCTGAGAATAGCCCCGTGAGCACCCATTTGGGTATCAAGTATAGACCCAGCTTTACCACCCTTGCACCGAATGTAACTTTCTGTCACTTCTAGGCTGCTGGGGTCTCTGAATCAGTGGCTTCAGTCTTCCTCCTCTTCCTACACATCCCATATGGGGAAAGCCTGCGGGACAGAGGGGTGGCATGAAAAGACCCATGGGCCCAGTGGGAAGGTGTAGGCTGGGGCCCCTCTTTTACCACATTCTCCTTACTGTTTATGAACTTATTTTCCTGAGACAGGCTATGCTGTGTAGCCCTGGCTGTTCTGGAATCCATAATGTAGACCAGGCTGGCCTCGAATTCACAGAGATCCACCTACCTCGGCCTCCTGAGTGCTGGGATTAATAGCATGTAATACCACACTGGCTATTTATGAAGGTATTTTTCTTCTCTTCCCATAATTCTCTTCCCTTCCTTCTTTCTCTCTTCTTCCCTCCCTCTCTCCTCCCCTCCTCCATCTTTTCTTCCTCTATTTCTCTCTCTTTTTTTCCTTGTGATGGATCTCATGGAACTCCGGCAAGTCTTGCACCCCTGACCCTCCTACCGCCACCTCCCAAGCGCCAGGATTACAGGCGTGTGCCACCATACTGACAAGCGCCGGGATTACAGGCGTGTGCCACCATGCTGACAAGCGCCGGGATTACAGGCGTGTGCCACCATACTGACAAGTGCCGGGATTACAGGCGTGTGCCACCATGCTGACAAGCGCCGGGATTACAGGCGTGTGCCACCATTCTGACCTTTAGGAAGGGTTCTGAAAGATAAGTAGAAGTCAGCTAAGTCCACAGTGGGAACAAGATCTTACCCCGGGGCAGATGAAATACACTTCAAGTGTTGGCCTGTGTTCTGAGCATGCAGTGTCCTGAGCATATCCCAAACGTGGAAACAGCCTAAATATCCATCAACAGGAGGATGGGGAAATGGGGCATACCCATACCCAGAGACTCAGTCATAAAATGGATGAAGATTGATCTGAAGCATTCTGCCCCATGGATGGACGTTGGAGACCCCTGCTGACTCAAAAGCTGTGCTGAATAACTCCATTTATAGGAAGTTTCTAGAATAGATAAATTCACAGAGAAAGTAGATTTGGGGTCACCAGGTTAAGATGAGTTGGGCGTTAGGGCTTGACTGAACTGTAACTGAGCTTCACGGAGAGTATCGAACGTTTTTGAAAGGTGTTGATGGTTGCCTAACAGTGGGAATGTACTTAAAATGTTACTGAATTCAAAGCTGAAAAGGTTAGGTTACGTTCATGTTATCACAATAAAAGATAGTTTAAAATCTACATACTAATGATAACACTATAGGTATATCTCAAGATTTCTGGTATTGGTCCCAAATAGGGAAGCAAGGAAAATATGAAGTTCCAAGTGTGGAATAGGGGAAGGGCAGGACGGCAAATACAGCTGGGCATCCAGGGGGCATCAGATCACCCAGGAAAGGTTCCAAGAAGGAAGAAACACCCGGGATCAGATCTGTCTGTGGGAAAACCTCTCATACATGTGTGAGCATCACAGAGCACTTGAGACAGAATCGAACAATACTATAAGAGTCTGAGTGTACAGGGACTGGGCTAGGCAAGGGGTCCTTAGCTCTAGGCTTCTTTACAAGCCATTAAGAAAAAGGAGACCCACGTGACTCTAGATCTTGTGACCTGGTTAGTACAAGCATCACCTGCTGTAATGGGGTGGGTGCTCGTGGGTGCAGCTGGAGAAACAAGAGAAAGCCACGTGGCCCTGAGTGCAGTGATGAAGGTCATCTGTGTGAGCTCTGGACCTGCTGCCTGGCCACCTGTGTTCCCAGCGCTTTCTTCTCAGGGACTGTGCCCTATTTAGCTGAATAGGGGGTGTTGCCCTCAATCTGGGGAAAGCTGAACCGCCTCACCGTTGTTCCCAATTGACAAGCAGTGAAGATGTGAGCTCTGGAGGTTAGCTCCGTCTCCCGGTAGCTTTCCAGACCCCTGCTCCCCTGCTTCCCACTGAGCTGCTTCCGATTGGCTGTCCACTGTCCACCACTCCGCTCCAGCCACAGCTGTCCGGCTGAACTTTGTGTCTTTCTCGCAAAAGCAGTGGCTGCTGTCGGCTTTTACTGCAGGACTCCCAGCTGTGGCCGACGCTTTGACCATCACTGGTAAGTTAGTCGCTCCATCTCGGTGGCGTGCTGGAGTCTCCAACACTGTGCTCTGTGTCCTCTTGTGGGTAGCCTGAAGTCAGCTGGGGGTGTTTATGACATAGATGTCCATACATACCACAGACCAGAGCTTGTCCATGCTGAGCTTGGGGTTCTCCTGGATTCTAGCAAAAAAAAAAAAAAAAAACACAGCTCTGACAGACTGGGTAGGCAGTGCTTGGTTTCTTGTAGACAGTCCAAAGTTTTTAACGGTTACAGTTTGGAGATATGTCTTGGCTCTGGAAATCATTTTGTACCTGTGAGGCATCCTCTCCAACCTGGGGGCTCTGATCAAACGTCTGCTTCAGTAGGAGGACTTGCCATGTCCTCTCTGCCCAAGACCCCAAGGTTCAAATGTACGAGATGGGCCCTTCCGCCAAACCAAGCATATGAACAGCGTCCAGGCACATGAAATACACACCAAGCAGGTTTCCGAAGTCTCTAGGGCTACCTTAGCTCGTCCACAGTGCCAGGTTTGTCCAGGAAGGCTGGAGATGTGTTACAGGCCAGAAGAACAGAGTAATCATTTTGGTCTTACTGTGTTTCAGCTGCCAGAACTTTGATACATTTAGGGCTATTTACAATATTTTTGTCATTCATTGTGTGTTTTTCATAAAAATGTCCTAAGGTTGTGCTGTGAGTTTCCAACTTTCGCTCCCAGTTTTTGGGTTGAGTTGTCGTCTCTCTCCCATCGTATGCTGACGTTCTAAACCGCCCAGTACCACAGAAGGGATCTGCCTTGTAAGCAGGGTCCTCGAAGATGCAGTAGGTTTAGAATGAGACATGCTGGAGCCAGGCAAGCCCCTTACTAAAGATGACTGGCCCTATAATCAGGGAAAACTTGGTAACACTGTCACTATGAAAACAGGGCGGACACAAAACACTCCATCTCAGCTTTCAGCACTGGAGCCCACTTTGCTAGGGTGAGTCTTCGCTCACAGCTTGCTAGCCATTTTAACCACCTAGTCTGAGCTCTTAGAGGAACCTACCAAACTAATACGCTCCCGAAGAAATCCTAGCCTTCTGGTATCCTGCCACAATCTGCAGAAGTAAAATTGCCGTAGTTCTCTAAGGCCTCAGAAACAGTTTTGTGTGTAGATATCTTTAAAAATCACTTAAATGAACCGGGTGTGATGGCGCTTGTCTTTAATCCCAGCACGCAGAGGCAGAGGCACGCAGATCTCTGAGCTAGAGGCCAGCCTTGTCTACAGTGAGTTTCAGGACAGTCAGAAGTATATAGAGGGATGGCGTGGGGGGGGGGTCACTTCGAGTATGGAAAAACTGAAATCCTACTGTGCTAAAGTCAGAACTAGTCTCAATAACCTAGAAACAAGACTGGGTGGATTGGCAGCATACCCCTGGAATCTCGGCTCTTGGGAGGCTGAGGCAGAGAGTGGTTCCAGACTAGCCTGGGGTATATAAAGAGATTCCATCTCAAAAGCTAGGAAAAAGGGCGGTGGTGGTGCATGCCTTTGATCTCAACACTCAGGAGGCACAGGCGGGTGAATCCCTGAGTTCGAGGTGAGCCTGGTCTACAACGTGAGTTCCAGGGTTCCAGGACAACCAGGACTGTTATAAACCCTATCTCAGAAGAAAAGAAAGGAAGAAAGAAAGAGAGAAAGAAAGTCAGAAAAAAATTTAAAAAGAAAGGAAATTCCAGGCACACTAAATGGCTTTCCTGATAGATTTTATAACTTTGCGCCTTTCTGCATAGCATCCCATTCCTGTTTATCTAGAACTCTGCTGAACTGTGCGTTCATTGGATATGCTTCTTTCATCTTGATATCATTTATCGTTTTCGATTGTCTTCCCCTGGTGTCAGGAGAATTTCTAACGTCGGAGGTGTTTTAGCTTTCGCTTATGTACTTTGAGGGAAGAGGCTCCAGCTGTTTTACAGGTTTCCCTTTTATTTTGGTATTTTCCTGAACGAGCAACCCGTCAACCAGCGGGGTCCCTCAGGGTCTTGAAGCCCAGCAGCCGCGCTCCGGGTGTCGTTACAGAAGTGCCCACCAGGGGTCAGCACAGGCTCGGCGTTGGCCTGAAGTATCCCACAATGCACCGAGCCTCCACCCGTGCTGCTGATTGTCAAGCGGTGGGGCGGGGCATCCCCATCGGGGGCGCGGCCTGGACGTTTGGGCAGGGTCTAGTTCTATAGGGCGTGGTCTATAGAACTGGGGCGTGGCCTAGTTTAGGAGGTGGGACCTAGCTGCGGGGGCGTGGCCTAGCTGGTAAAAGCGTGGTCTGGGTGGCGGGGGAACGGTCCGGCCACCGGGGGCAGGACCAGGACCAAGAGTTCTGCCGCGGTGGTGGTCGGCGGGTGTTGCAGGTGTCTGTTTGCTCCCAGCGCTGTGGCGAGGTAGGGACTCCGGAAGAAGTCCTGGAGCAGTGCGGGCGTGGCCGCGGGCTTTGCCCGGATCCCCTGCACTGCATTTCCAAGGGTTTCCGAGCGCGGACTAGAGGGCATCTGGAGCCTGGTGTGGGGTCTCGTGCACCTTCAAGGCCATCCCTCCCGTGGGAATGGATGCAACTTCGGGCGCAGGCGACTGGTGGGAAGTTGGAATCGTGGATTCGCTAGCACGCACTACAGGCTAGGGTGAGTGGCAGCCGCTACACTCGGGCCATCCTCTCAGGAGACGCTGTCTCTTGGGCTGAGCTGGTGGGGTCCTGGCGTCCCAGCAGTCCTAGACGCCACCCAGGACGGCCCTGGGGGACTCTTTGATACCACACCCAGCTCCTTAGTTTTCAAGTAATTAGCACTATCCAAAAAGTAAGATTCGGTATCTAGGAAACACTGAAATGCCTGGAGGTTTGGGCTTGAGGGTGTCTTTCCCCCAACAGCCTGTTTCTGCTTTAGTTCACTCCTTTCAGTCTCACTTTCTGTTACCCCGTTTCCTTGGCGATCATGTCACAACCTGGAAGCTTCAGGTCGCAAAACTGAGTGGAGTGACTCTGCCCACTTTTCAATGCCCTGCGAAGTTTTGTTCACGGATCTCCACCCCCAATAGAAAAGAAATCATATTTTAGTTTTTTCTTTTTAGATTTATTTTGTGTGTATTAGTGTTTTGCCTACGTGTGTATGTACACTGCATGTGTGCCTGGAGGCCAGAAGAAGAAAACAGATCCCCAGAACCAGAATTATGGATGACCGTGAGCCACCACGTGTGTGCTGGGGACAGAACCCTGCCTCTGTGATATTAACACATGTTCTTAACCATTGAGTCGTCTCTCCAGCTTCATAAACTGTATTTTAAAAGCATGTTTCATCCTATGTTATATCCACTGCCATAAGCCAATTGATTTGCTTTTACTTGATCTCCAAGCAATTTCTCTTACTGCTTAGTAATGTTTATAATTAGGAAAACTACAGCGCAAAGATAATCCAGGTGAACACAGTCTTAATTAGCAAATGAGCTGTTGGTTGGGGGCAGTGGATGAGAAATCAGGCAAGCTTGTTCTCAGACATTTCTGCTGCCAAGGAGGTTGAAGTATGAAAACTGTTTTTACTGTGTCTTCCAAACCTAAAATGCAAATGATGAGCACATGCTCCTTTTTTAGTAGACAGACCTCTTGGCTTGCTCATCGAAATAAGAAAATTCTGTTTTAAAAAATATTTGTTTTTTTTTTTTTGAGACTGGGTCTCTGTGTAGTCTTGGCTGTCCAGAAATTTGCTAGGTAGACCAGGCTGGCCTCAAACACACAGAGATCAACCTGCCTCTGCCTCCCGAGTGCTGGGATTAAAGATGTGTATGCAAAGGTGTGTATGTGTGTATGTATGTGTCCATGCCCAACCAAAAAAAAATCTTTCTTTCTTTCTTTCATTCTTTCTTTCTTTTTTTCGAGACAGGGTTTCTCCATAGCTTTGGAGCCTGCCCTCGAACTCAATTTTGTAGCCCAGGCTGGCCTCAAACTCACAGATATCTGCCTGCCTCTGCCTCCCGAGTACTGGGGTTAAAGGTGTGCGCCACCTCTGCCCAGCAAGAAAATTCTTTTAAACTGTTAACTGAATTACTTCTACTCAAGGAAAGGAGGTGACTAATCACAGTTTGGCTTCTCTATCTTTGTTAAGCAGAAACTTGTCTTAATGGTTATCCTGAATGACTTCATCACATAGAGATGGGCCTGTTCTGTAATGACAGAGCACCACCCAAGTTATTCAGAGGCAGATTCTGTCCAGGAGACGTCCTGTCAATGTGCCCGGATTGGAAATGCAGAGATAATTTAAACTCCGGATTCTGAAACTGATCTAGGAGGGTAAACCAACCCAGACAGTGTGTATTTGCCAGGATAGGCGGTGTGGCAGTACGTGCTTGCTATGGTGACGGACAGCATGGCACTACCGTGCCACTCATGATGGCCAGGGCTTTATGTCTAGTCTGTCAGTTGTGAGGGAAAGACCTCAGGAGAAGCCAGCTCTTGAAATGAGTACTAAGGATGTCTGGGAAGAGGGGTAAAGAAATAACAAAATCACAGAGAGCAAGAATGGAATGTATAAACCGGGAGAGATGAATATGCTAGATATTATACTAAGTGACACAAGCCAGTACCAAAGGATAAATAATGTATGGCCCTATTTGAACACAGTTCTTAAAGGAAGTAGATTGATAGAAGACAGAACGCTGGTTGCCGGGAGCTGTGGGAAGAAACAGAGTTAGCGTCAAACGGGTAAGGATTTGAGAAGATGAAGTCCTAGAAAAGTATGCTGATGGTTCCACAACAAAGTGAACATATCAAAAGCCACAGAACTGCATAAAAATTGTTTAATCCCAGGACTCGGGGATGGCTCCGTGGATAAGCATGAAGACCCAAGTTCAAGTCCCCAACATCCCTTGAAAGAGTTATGTATGTGGCTACGTGCATGTCTGTAACCCCAGGGCTCAGGGTGGAGATAGGGCAGACACAGGACTTCTGGGGCTTGCTGGCTAGCAGCCTAGCTCTGGGTTCAGTGAGAGCAGTTATGCCTTGAGGAAGAGCGATAGAACAGGATGCCCAGCATCCTCCTCTGGCCTCATACTACAACACTTACCGCGTACTCCTCTGAGCACATATTCAACACACACACACACACAGACACACACACACACACACACAGACACACACACACACAGGGTGAATCCCCTTTTTACTGTTTCCTATCAACATGAAGAATCTCCACCAGGTAGTGGCGGTGGCGCATGTCTTTAATCCCAGCACTGGAGGCAGGCAGATCCCTGTGAGTTCGAGGCCAGCCTGATCTACAGAGCAAGTTCGAGGACAGGCTCCAAAGCTACACAGAGAAACCCTGTCTTGAAAAAAAAAAATTTCCTTCCACAAACCTCTGCCCACGAAGCCCAGAAACAGAACCAAGTAGCCCTGCATGCCTTGAATCCCAGCACTGGGAAAACAGAATGGGTGTATGTCTGTGAGTTCGAGGCTAGCCTGATCCTCACAGTGAGTTACAGCCCAGCCAAAAACTACTTAGTAAAACCCTATTTTTTTTTAAAGCAATGCTAATGTATATAACACATTGTATATATTTGTATATCTTACTGTCTAGAGAAAGAAATCCCATTGGCCATCCTTTGTGGTCAGATTGCCAATGTCTAGGAGCTGGTGACACATTTGTGACCAGGAAGACAGTGCAACTCCCCTGCAAAAAGGTAAAAGGTATTTTACAGAACCCAGCCCAAGAAAAGAATGCTGGGTGGGTTCCCAAATGACAGATCCCCAGGGCACAGGTCTATCTATGCCACAGCAGGCTTGCCTAACACCCTTAACACACCCTTTAACACTTTAACACGCTGACAAGAGGGAAACCCAAGGTTTCACAGTGATTGGCCCAGGGCCACTGCACAAGTCCAGGCAGACTGAGAATGGGAAACCAAAACCCATCTTCTAAGCCCAGACTACGGCTTGATACCCACAAGGACTCAGCTGATGAAGATGCTCTGTCCATCCGAGCAGGAAGCAAACCATGACTTTCATCTCTGTCAGCCCTGCGGCAGCAAATTATAAAAATATAGTTACTGAGGAGATTTGGGTGCTTAGAAGTGGGTGTGTCGGGCTGCCGGTTCCATTAGGTCTCAAGGTGGTACAATGAAGCCAGGCATGGTGATATAATCCCAGGCACTTCAGAGACAAAAATAGAGAATCAAGTAGACAAAAGTAGAGTTCAAGGCCAGGGTCAGCTATAAAATGAGTTCAAGGTGCAGCCTGAGGTATGCGATAGACCCTGTCCTAAAACAACAACAAAAACATGAAAAACACAAGGCAAGGAAAAGGTCAAACGTTTGTATCAAACGTGAACCTGGAGAGATGGTTCCGTGATTAAGAACACGTACTGAATTGAGGCTTTGTGTGCACGCCTTAATTCCTGCACTTGGGAGGCAGAGGCAGGAGGATAGCTGTGATTTTAAGGCTAGCCTGGGCTACATAGCGAGCTCCAAGACAGCCAGGGCTGCATAAAGAGGCAGAGACAGGAGGATCTCTGTGAGAATGAGGCCAGCCTGGTCTACATAGCGAGTTCCAGGACAGACAGGATTGCATTAGAGAGACCCTGTCTCAAAAAAAAAAAGTTTCGCTTATGCTCTGCCAGTTCTGGTTCCCGTTTGCTGTGCTTTGAAAGTAGTTTGAGTATTTGATCCCCAAGCATTCACAGAGTGGCCTGTGGGGGTGATGGGGGTGAGCTGAGGAGAGCATCTATCACACTCTTCTCAGAGGAGGGATTCCTGGGCTGCGGACAGACAGTTTTCAAATCGAGTCTTGTGATTCAGGTATTGTGGCTATTTCCAGATGGGTGGACCAGCGCAGGCATCTTTTGAGAAGTGCAGACGGCTGTGGCTGTTAACTGTCTCCACTGTGGTGTCTCACGTGAGCTCCCATCTCAGCCCAATCTTTGGGTCCTCACAGGGAAGGGCCTTATCTGGCATCACTTGGGGTTTCCTTTGGCCAAGCATTAAGTCTGCTCTTAAGAGAACTGTGACCTTATTTTATAGGCACAGATGAAGGAGGGTGTGTGTGTGTGCGTGCGTGCGTGTATGTACACAGATGCCACAGGACAACTTTGGGTATCATTTCTCAAGAGCCACCCACCTTGTTTTTGAGATAGAATTTCTCACTAGGCTGGGGTTCTCCTTATTTCGCTAGCCTGGTTGACCAATGCACCCCAAGGAATACTTCTGTTTTCACCTCCCCAATGCTGGGAGTACATGTACTTGCAACCACCCCTGGTCTTTTTATGGGGTTTGGGGGGGGGTCCTTATGCTTGCAAGGCAAGCACCTTACTGACTGAGCCATTCTTCCCAGGAACACCCCCCCCCCCGGGTTTTTTTTTTTTTTTTTAACTCTAGCCTACTGTCCTCTTTTCTTTCTTTCCTTCTTTGCCAGGCTGGCCTCAGACAGCAATTCCGTCATCAGCTCTGTGACGTGAGCCACCGTAAACGGGCGATCTGCTGTCTGCTACCACCCACTCTGTCACCTGGTTTTTGATGCCTTCCAGTGTCTGTCTTCATCAGCTTGGCAGTTTACTAGATAGAAAGCTAAGAGCTGTGTCGACAAACCTAAAATTCCCTCTTTCAGATCATTAAGGGATTCAGACCTGGACTTCTGGGTGCTGGC